TATAAGTTGTCGTACGTTGATGCCATACAAGAATTTTATACATACACAAACGTTTAAGTGTATGCCAATGAGTTGATAAGTTAGGCACAAGTTATAGTTATGCAACAAGTAAGTTATGCACATTAGAGATTAAAGTTGACCCACGTTGGAGCCAGTTAGGCAAGTGTGTAGCATATGCGTAATTTTCTAACCTGTGATCAATTTACTCCTAACATACCTGTAACTTTTATCAGACGTCCCCATTAGGTATACTGACAGGCAACATATAGCTAACAACCCTGGACCTTACTGAACGTGTTTACATTTTAAGGCCATGTCACACAGTAACGTATAGCATCAGTGTATGCCAGTGAATAAAAAATAATAATAAAGAAAAGAAACACGCTGATGTAAGTCGCATAAATTAGGGGTCAGTTCTGAATAAGTTACCAGCATGCTGATATACGATGGCCGCCAATAATTTCATTCATGACCAAAATTTGCAGCATATCTGGACATGTTTCTATAAGTATGTGACAGGTAAATTATGCATAAGTTCACACGTTACCCAAAAGTTACTATCCATCCATCCATCCAGCCATCCATCCATCCATCCATCATTCTTTTAGGATCACAGGAGTCTCTGGAGCCCATACCCAGCAGTCAATGTGCGAGAGGCGTGGACACCCTGGACAGGTCTCCAGTCCATCACAGGGACAAACCACCATTCACTCTTCAAGATTCATGCTCAATAATCAATATTTAGATTATTGAGCATGAACCGTAATGTCTTGAACCACTGTGGCTGCCTGGGAGGAGTCGATGGGGGAGGGGGAGCCTCCCAGAAACCATTCGTTCAACTTTTATTTAACCATCTCATCACCACCAAACTGGTTGGTCTACTATGGGAGTGTGTTGAATGTGAGGAAACAGTTTATTTGTGGCTCCTCAGATTGATGAAGTCCTTTGGATGAAGGACAAAACGTCTCAACAAAAAAATAAACTGTCCAGATGACCTGACTGAGCCTCCAGTGAAGGAGAGGGCATGCACCATAGACCGTCTTAGCACCAACAAAACTGTTTTTTTTTTTTTCCACTTTAGAGTAAGCTGTTGGGGGAGAAGCCATTTTGTTTGGTGTTTCTCCAGACTGATGAAGCCTTCTGGATGGAAGGCGAAACATCTCAGCACAAAAAAGAAACCGTTCAGATGACCTGACTCAACATTGTTGGATTTTTTACCTGGATTATTGAGCATTGACTTTGCTGACCTAGCTGAACCTTGTTGAACCATTCACTCTCTCACTCACACCATAGGACAATTTAGAGTTAACTGGCAACCTCCTCTCTGAGAGGCGGCAGCTCTACCATCTGCACCACATGCCACCCCATAAGTTATTAATAAGTTGATATATTTCAAAAACCAGCTGGACAACTGTGAGAGGCAGATCTCTGCACCCCCAGTCATTAATCTTGCATTGATCCACATGCAAACAGCACGGTGTTGCAGTTGATAGAGCTGCTGCCTCTCAGCGAGCAGGTCGACCCGGCTCAAATCCCAGCTGTGGCCTTTCTGGGTGGCGTTTGCATGTTCTCTCAATGTATGCATGGGTTTTCTCTGGGTACTCTGGTTTCCTCCCACAAACCAAAAACATGCATGTTAGGCTGATTGGTAACTCTAAATTGTCCCTAGGTATGAGTGAGAGAGTGAATGGTTTGTCTCATTTATCTCTATGTGTCCCTGTGATAGACTGGAGACCTGTCCAGGGTGTCCCCCACCTCTCGCATTGTGATGGCTGGACATGGGCACTGGTGATGCCCTCAACCCAAAAAGGAAGAAGCGGGTAAAAGTTGATGGATGGATGATTCACATGCCTCAGAAGAAATCAAACAAATCTGTGATCAAGAAAACTAGAGCAAGACCCTCCATCTCTGTGGTGATAGTTTAGGACCTCTGCACCCCCATGGATCCAGCAGGAGGGATGAGCTGCTCATCATTTATACCCTATTTACAACTGAACCCCAAGGCAGTGGCAAACATGCTGGTAGCAAGTTATAAACACGTGTCAGAGCAGACTGTTCACTCATTATTAACACAACAGCAAAAAAAGAGAGAAGTATTTCAGCAGATGGAATTGACTATGTATGAAGGAAACTGTCTCAGAACTTTTCAGACCCTACTTTTTAAAGACATTTTGCTTTCTATGACCCACTATAGGCTGTAGCCGTTTGTTTTGCTCTTTAAGTGTGGGAGCTCTGAATGACGTCCCAGTGAACTTTCCACAGACGTGAATCCTCTCTCGGAGGATGTGTAGGCCCAGCACCACCCGCCTCTGGTGATCTGGAGACTACACCTCCAAGATCTGTGCTCTGTGGAAACTACAGCTCCTGGGAACCTGCTGCTATTGCTAACATCATATTTAAAGCTATGACACAATTTTTGCTGTTTCTTCATTTGTTGCTCCATCAAATAGTTACCAGTAGTTAGTGCCCTTAGCCCTGACATCAGTCACAGAAACCAGTATAGAGAAAAGGGCATATTTCTAAGCTAGCTATACAAGGACCTCTTGTTCAACGTTTCTCGAGCTTAAAAAGGCTTTCTTAAAAATTAGGTTTAAAGTACAACCATGTACATAGTGTTTATTTACTCCAATATGCTTTCCAGGAAAGAGTTGTCCATGCCTGGCAATGGACCTTTATTTAGCTAGCTATTAGCTTAGCCTGGATGAAGACGTGTCCTTCTTTTGTTTGTCTAAAAAAAATCTCGTATTGACAGCACTTGTTCTAGAAATGTTTTCATCCATATGGAAATACCAAAAATAACCCAAGACGTTGTAGTAACTGGGACACACCTGTAAGAGGCGCTGTCACACAGCCACAAAAATGCATCAAAATAGGAACCAAGGTAAGCAGCTGGGTAACAAAACACAATGAGCTCTAGAATACATAGAATAAAGTGTCAGTGGTGGTTTTTATTGATTATAAAACTCGAGTAAAACATGTATGGTGGTTTATCATTGAAGCAGCAGAGTATCATGGGCCTGAGCGGAGACATCATGTGCATGGTGGTCGCTTATTCATGAAAAATGGTCTACATGTACCAACGTGGATTGGTCCTCACGACTGGCCACACTGGCCTCATGCAGCATTGTCATGGACAATACCTAGTGCAGATTGTGATACCCATGGCAACAGTTTCTGTTGTGGCCAGTGCTGGGGTAAAAACCATTGTGAGGTTGTAATAGAGCAACTCAGGAACATAGAAGATAAAAGGAAAAATAATATTTTACAAGGACAAGCAACATGGAAATGTCCATCCATCCATTATCTTTACCCGCTTCTTCCTTTTTGGGTCACAGTGGTCACTGGTGCCCATGTCCAGCCATCACTGTGCAAGAGGCGGGGGACACCATGGACAGGTCTCCAGTCCATCACAGGAACACGTAGAGACAAACGAGACAAACAACCATTCACTCTCTCATGTCTAGGAACAATTTAGAGTTACCAATCAGCCTAACATGCATGTTTTTGGTCTGTGGGAGGAAACTGGAGTACTCAGAGAAAACCCAGACATGCATGTAAAAGAACATGCCAACTCCACCCAAAATGGCCCCCCAGTCAAGAGTCAATCCAGCAAACTTCACGCTGAGAGGTAGCAGCTCTACCAACTGAGCCACATAGAAATATGATTTCCTATACGCCAGTGCAGTATTTCCAAATTTGCAACAATCCAAGCACATTCTGATAGGTGGTGTGGAGCATAGCATGGTCATTATCCAATATGAAGAGAGCCATATCTTGAGAAAATGGCTTCCATAGCCATCCCTACAGTGTAGTCATGATTGGATCTTTTGTTTAGGAGGATTAAACTGAATGTAGCTTGTCTTGGTTTTTGGTATGAACAGCTTGCTATGTTAGCGTCACAGCTCACTCACATCATACTGCACAAGTAAAATCTGATCCTTTGTGCAAAAAAAAAAAGAAAAAAAAAGTGTTTTCTACATTTAGAAAAAAAGAAGGCTTTTATGGTCGCACTTTAACCTGCGTGCAGCTCTCACATTGACCCAAAGAATGTGACTGAAGTTTCACTGTTGCCACCCAGGTGTGACAATTTTTCAAGGTTATCAGTAAATGATGGTTGTATGTGTCACAAATTGCTGTTCCCTCAAGAAAGAACCTTGATGTGACCAATCACATGGGTCAGGGGGTTAACTTGTCTTGAAAGCAACAGTAACAATGCTGCCTGTGGCCTTAAGCTGACCTGACCTCTGACCAGGGGTGATGGCTTGTAAAAACCAAACTATTATTAGACATATTGGAGTACCACTGCCCAGACATAGAAACATGTGAAAAGAATCCTACAAGTGCTAAGCACTGATATATTATTATTAGTAACTAGACACAGGAACATAATGAGGAAGTTGAAGCCAAAACTTTATACAAGCCTCCATATAGGCTGGCTACAGTTTAAGTCCATGTATGTTAAAATGTTCTGTCCATCATATTTACAAAGTATGTTGATGGGTTAAAGCTGTTATGTCCCTACAATAAAAAAATTACCATTTTTTGATTGTCGCCATCTGGGTGAAACCTGTATGTGGCACAGTGGTTAGAACTGTTGCCTCTTAGAAAGAAGGTTGCAGGATGGTTTCCCAGCCTGGGGCCTTGCAGGTGGCGTTTGCATGTTCTTTATGTGCATGCGTGGGCTTTCTTTGGGTACTCCGGTTTCACAGACTAAAACCATGCATGTTAGGCTAACTGTGACCACGAGAGGCAAAGTAGATGAAGAAAATGGATGAAGGTTTAGATGGATCCCATTTTCTGTTGGCTGTTTTTCTAGATTTTTGAATATCAAAAAGACAATTCAACTTACGGTATGCCAATCTCAAAGATGTTGTTCTGGATTAGCTGCTTCCCCAGCATGATGATGCTGAGCTGAATGCACAACTCGATGAGGCAGCCTCCTGGAGCACACTAAGGAAAAAGCAAAAACAAATACACTGAAACCACTCCTGCATTCAGGATCACTTTAGATATTTTGGCTAATCATTAAAAAAGAGGCAGAAACTGAAGATAAAAAAAACAAACAAACCTCTTCCATGCGATAATTATTAAAGACATACACGTAATTGCCAGGTCGACCTGCAAACCTGAAATAAACACAACCAAAACTAAAACTTTTTAAAACATAATTTTCACATTTGTGTTTTTTTTTTTAGATCAGCTGTCTGTGGCTGCCATGTTGCACTGAAGTACCTCCAAAAGTTAATCAGCTGTCATTCAGCAGATAATTAGATATTTTTATTTTGGGCTCTTTCTAACACAAAATGAACATTTACTCCATTACCGTACTTTTCGCTGTATAAGTCGCAGTTTTTTACATAAATTAGCATGCCTGCGACTTCCATATTTATCTTTTTCCCCCCGTATTTATAAACCAATTTTTGGCTGAGATCTGACTATTTCATTCATTTTGACATGGAAAATATTGAACACTACCATCTTCAGCCACTAGAGGGCGATCGACTAATATGGCAAAGCAAGTGTCTCATTAATAGGTAAAAGTGGCTATTAATGAGACATGTGGCTTGCCATACAAAACCACCTTCGTCTCGCTCCGGAACTCCTGGAGTAAACATCAAGTCAGAAATGCAGCTGATTTGACCATTAACGTGCATTTATTAAGGAAAAGTTCAACTGAGACACACTTCTGCTATAACTTCGAGCAAACAAATAATTGTTTTTTTAAGTGTTATTCATGTTAAATTCTTGTTAAAGTCCTCCTGTGCATGCTCCCGTGGCCACCATTTGGCAGCCAATTGATTTTTGGCACAACACCAGCCCACATTTTGGGGTTGTCAGCGGTGACGCATAATAGATGCAACGTATATGGCGAAGCGACGTATTTATGTTTTTTCCAATTTATTAGACATATTTGGACTGATGCGACTGATGCGACTTATACGACGGTGCAACTTTTTGGCGGCAAGTACGGTAGAAACAATAAATATCAATAATCCTGTTTGAAAACAAAAACAAATATTCATACAGCTGAAATTATCTTATTTTATCTTAGCTACTAACAACTATAGCATGTATAGTTCCCACTTCATAAAATGTTCCTGGATGCAAGTCTTACCGTCCCTTGAAGAAAGCAACATAAAAGATAGGCGCGTAGGCATTCATAAACTTGAGTAAGAAGGCTTTCAGGATGAGGCGTTCTTCAAAGTTGGTTTCTGTTTTAGGAATCTCTGAAAAATAATTGATGTGAAAATATAAGTGTTGCTTTAATGATGTTTGAGAGTGCTGCAGAATAAAATACAAGTTAATGCATTTATTATGTATCATAGTTTTATAACATTCAGTGAGCTGGGACTAAGTGAGGACACTAAAACTTTTCTCATTTCTGCTTTATCCATCCATACCAGCCCCTGTAAATGTTGGTGAAACCTTCTGGGATGACTGATGGGACAGTTGGTGCATGAATACATCAAAGTTTTATCAGATTATCCAGCAAAAAGTAGAAAGTTTTTTTCCCAACACATACAGAAAATGGCACGCAAATGATTACGTGGTAAAAATTAGAACACTTGTGTATGTATGTGTGTGCTTTCTTTTCTTTTTTTGTGTGCCTATATTAATGTTTCTTTAATGTTCCTTTGACATGCATAATGTAATTACTTTCAAATCAAATTTGATTTTTTTATTGATTGCCCCTGTTATTGCTGATAACAGATGAAATCTTGAGTAGGAATGTTAGAAGACCACTAGTTCGGTAGTTTACAGTACTACTTGGTGGCTGTTGGGTAAATGAAATATAATAGAGAAGTCACTTCTGACAGCTAATTTGCAAAACTGTATTCCATTTTTATTCAGAAATCTGATTTTTATGCTCCGACTTCAGAAAAAATAACTGCAACATCCCTTAAAAACTCAAAAACTCTGAGATTCCTAACCAGCTCTGACCTCAAAATCCAATTGTGCATGAAAAGCTGTGACAGCTGCAGGAATAACTTTACTTTCACTTTTGTTAGGGATCAGTAGTTGTAAATCAGTTATCCAGCCACACATATTACTGTCTATTCACCACTTGTGAACATGTTGCTACATGATGAATGTACAGAATGCAGAGAAATCCATTATCAACTTGTACTGCTAGCAGTATTTAACCTGCTCTCTAAGCACAACCATTAGCAAATCCTACTGGTTTTCCAACTTGCAACTTGAATGCATTAAGATTGGGTCTAATGTCACTCCCAGATTCAAGTTCTGACTTCTAAGATGAATGAAACTCAGCATAAGACAGACAGAACAGGGTTAGCGTACCATAAAGAGTAAAACAGAACCTATACTTGGTATGGTAGAAATGTATAAAAATATCCTACAATGTCAGCATAAAGTTGAGTGCAAATTGGACAGTTCTTCAAGCAAATAGCCATCTCAGTATGATGGAGGGGTGTGAGTACCCCAATCTTACTGGGGACTTCAGTCTCTGCTAAAGGGAAAACTGGTCTCTGGTGCAATTAAACTAAATGAGAGTCAAACACCTTGATAGAACATCAGCAGAAGAGGGGAACCACTTCACTTAGAAAAGGTAAACTAAGGAACCTACCCAGGGCTTTATGAGTGAGGTGAATGGGAATAGTGGTTGCTAGTGGCCACCTGGTACCAAGGCTTAGCCCACATTTACTACATGGGTCCACCACTTGAAGGAAAAAATGAAATTGGGTGTGAGTTGAGTAGTCAGGATGGGGGTCTACAAAAAATTGATCCAGTGATGTAAACTGGCTTTTAAGATGTGGTTCACTGATAATAAAGGAGCCTTAGCTGGTGTGTGGGTTTGACCAATATCAATTTTACAGTAGTTGGTCCTAACATCACACACATTAGTTCTGGAACGGCAGCACGGTGGCGCAACTGGTAGAGCTGCTGCCTCTCAGCGAGCAGGTCCCTGGTTCAAACCCCGGTCCAGGGGCCTTTCTGGGTGGAGTTTGCATGTTCTCTCCGTGCATGCGTGGGTTTTCTCCGGGTACTCCGGTTTCCTCCCACAGACCAAAAACATGCATGTTAGGCTGATTGGTAACTCTAAATTGTCCCTAGGTGTGAGTGAGAGAGTGAATGGTTGTTTGTCTCGTTTGTCTCTATGTGGCCCTGTGATGGACTTGCGACCCGTCCAGGGTGTACCCCGCCCCTCGCACAGTGATTGCTGGACATGGGCGCCAGCGACCCCCGTGACCCAAAATGGAATAAGCGGGTAAAGAAAATGGATGGATGGATGGATAGTTCTGGAACCAAACTCCTGAAGAAGGGCTGTACTCCCTTATACTCCAGAGTTGTCCAGGAACCTATGTGATTACATAGCACAGTTATATAGTTCAGATTATACAAACAACTTTTGAAGTCTCTGGATGGTGTCCTGGAAATGAGATTGTTTTGTGTTTTCATTGTTCTCCTAAGAGACTTCAAGTGGGTAATGATGGAGACACCTGGAGAAATGTGTCTGAAAGGCCTTTCTCGTCTGAATCCGATGTCTCAGACTTGGGTTGTTGTGTGCCATTGAAGGATTGGTTTGGGAATCTCTTGAATTTAGTTGACTTGAGACCACCAAGAAAACATTATCTATAAACTCAAGGGAAGATTCAAAATAGCTTCCAGGCCATTCAGTGTCACGAATTGGTACAGGGTGGTAAACAGAGGAGAAGGTCCCAATTTTTTTAAAAAGGTGGTAGTTTCCTTGTAGTTAAAGGCTATACTGCAACTATCAAGCAATCACACTGCTCAACCTCCCAAACTATGCACAAGGTTGTTTGACTTTAACCAACTGCTACAGCAAGAATGCAGGAAAAGCAGATAGGCTTTTGTCCAGACAATGAAGAAGTGAACCATCCATCCATCCATCCATTATCTTTACTCGCTTATTCCATTTTGGGTCACGTGGGTCGCTGGTGCCCATGTCCAGCAATCACTGTGCGAGGGGCGGGGTACACCCTGGATGGGTCGCAAGTCCATCACAGGGCTGAAGAAGTGAACCATATATAATTATTTTTGAGTTACTAAGAGGATATCCAATTTTGGTTGTCCAGCCCATGTGTGCTTGAAGGACTCATAGAAGGTCACAACTATGCCACCAGATAGATTTTATAAGGTGTGCTGCAAAAGTCACTTTTGGATGCTATTTGGTCCCTGTATGGCCAAACTAAGAGCTGTAGTTGCATCCTTGGCAAAAATAAATAAATAAATGAAGCTAATTTATGATGCAGGTTGGACTCCTCAAGGGCTGCTCCTTATCACTGACTGTAAGTAGTCATGGTAAGGAACTTGAGGTACAGTCATATTCCAAGGGGAGGGTGTCTGTTTTGAGATCCTTAGGGTTTCATCTTTACTTTTTGTAGATGATGGCCATCACCTTCAGTGTGCACTTGGTGTTTTGGAACTGAACAAAAAAGTTGAGATGAAAGTCATCTCCTCAAAACCTGAGGCTATGGTTCATGACGGAAAAATGATGAAATGCTCTCTCTGGGTTGGGGTGTGTCTCTTAAGTGGAGGAGTTTAGTATCTTGATGTCATATTCAAGAATGATTGTAAGGCGTGTGAGATGGGCAGACAGATTACGGCTTCGGCACTGGCGATGTGGAAGAAGTCAAAGGGGACATTCTCTATTTTCTGGTCTACAGTCACCTACAATCAGGAGACTCTGACAGAGAGAAGAAAATCACAGATAGATAAAATGAGATTCCGTCAGAGGGTATCTGGGCTGAACCTTAAAAGCTTGGGGATTTAAGAGAGGTTCAGAAAAAAGCTGCTGCTTTTGTACAACAAAGAAAGTCAGCTGAGGAGGTTCTGGCACTTGATCAGGATTCTCCCGTGCCTCCTTCTGGAGATTTTCATCACATACAGCAAGGAGACCCTGAGACACTCAGAACCCACCGACAGATCCCATTTTCATTCTGAGTCTTGCTAAGGAAGGGGTTTCCCTCTTGGACCTGTTGCTTCCGCAACTAAATTATGGAAAAAAGAATGAAAATAAATGGATGGAACTTTTGCAATTGTATTTTTGACACAAATAAAACCTCTACTAGCTTCTGAGCCTTAACCTCCTAGGACCTGGCATCCACATATGCAAGAGTTCGGGTCTTAGGAGGTTAATATTTTTTCTGCATTCCAGTGGATCCTTATCAAATATATTTAAATTGGTATTTGTATTTTTGCACAACCCTTAGCAAATAGTGTGCATTTCCAAAAAATATTAAACCATTCCTTTCTATTTTGCAGGTAGTAAAGAAACAAAAAGACTGCACATATCATATTATAGATTCGTATAGTATAGAATAGTATAGAATAGAATAGTATAGCATAGTATAGCATAGTATAGTATAGTATAGTATAGTATAGTATAGTATAGTATAGTATAGTATAGCATAGCATAGCATAGCATAGCATAGTATAGTATAGTATAGCATAGTATAGTATAGTATAGCAT